ATGAAATGGAACTAAAGAGACTAAATCAAAATGAAGAAAGTGATAAAAGAAAGAAGGGAATAGCACTCAAAGCATCATCATCTATTCATGAAGAAGATGAGAAAGAAGAAAATAATGAGGAAGATGATTTAGAGGATGATGAGGATTTTAGCCTCTTTATAAAAAGATTCAACAAATTCCTTAGCAACAAAGGAAACAGAAAAAGATCCAACTTCAACAATAAGAGAAAAGGTGAAGACTATTCTTCAACCCCAAAATGCTGTTAGTGTAATCAACCGGGACATTTGAGGTTAGAATGTCCAATCTATAAAAGAAAAATGGAAAAATCCAACAAGAAAAGCTTCAAAGAAAAGAAAGGGAAGAAAGCTAATATCACTTGGGAAGAAAATAACATGGATTCTACAAGTGACTTTGAAAATGAAGTTGTAAATTTGGGACTTATGGCCAAAGATTACGAAAGTGAAGAAGAGGTAACATCTTCTAACAATGATATCTCAATTTCATTTGATGAACTTCAAGATGCATTCAATGATTTACATAAAGAATCCTTTAAACTTGCAAAATTAGTATCATCATATAAAAAAAACAATTTCAAACTTAAAAAAATAGATTTCAAAATTAAATAATGAATTAGATAATCTTAAAACTGAAATTAAGATAATAAATTCTAAAAATGAAAATCAAGAGATTAAAAATAAGTTAGAAACTAATAAAAAAAATCATCCATGTTCAACATGCAACAAAATTAAAGAAGAAATTAGTAACCTAAGAAACACTCTTGCAAAATTTACTGGTGGAAGAAATAACTTAGACATAATATTAGGAAAACAAAGATGTGTATTTGATAAGGAAGGATTAGGATATAATCCTCAAAAACTACAAAAGAAATACAAAAATTTCTTCATACCCTCACAAGTTATTAGTTTTCCTTTCAAAACATGTTTTTATTGAGGTAAGAAAGGTCACAATTCATCAACATGCTATATTATAAAAAATATTAGTAATCTCAAAAATATGGTTTGGATTCCAAAAGGTTCTTCTGTTAATACTAACAATAAGGACCCAAAGAAAACTTGGGTACCTAAATCAACCCTTTCTTTTGTCTTGAAGGATTCCAAAAACCAAATTTGGTACATTGATAGTGGATGTTCCAAGCACAGGACAGGAGATTCTTCAAAATTCATTGACCTTACTCCTAAGAGAAGTGGACATGTAACCTATGGAGACAACAATAGAGGAAAAATACTTGGAATTGGAAGAATTGGTACAAATTTCTCAACCTCTATAGAAAATGTCTTACTTGTGGATGGTCTTAAACATAGTTTATTAAGTGTTAGCCAACATTGTGATAAAGGTTTTTGTGTATCCTTTGACTCACAAAAATGTCTAATTGAACACAAAAATGATAAAAATGTTAAGATAGTGGGATTTAGAATTAACAATGTATATAAAATAAAAATAGAAAATAATCCTAATCATTTTCAATGCCTCATGAGTAAAGATGATGAATCATGGCTGTGGCATAAAAGAATTGCAAACTCTGTTCAGAAATTTCAGACGGATTTAAATCCGTGGGTAATTCTATTCAGAAATTTCAGACGGATTTAAATATGTGGGAAACGCTGTTTAGAAATTTCAGACGGATTTAAATCCATGGGAAACTCTGTTCAGAAATTTCAGACGGATTTAAATCCGTGGGTAATTCTATTCAGAAATTTCAGACGGATTTAAATATGTGGGAAACGCTGTTTAGAAATTTCAGACGGATTTAAATCCATGGGAAACTCTGTTCAAAAATTTCAGACGGATTTAAATCCGTGGGAAATTTCGTCAAAAATTTTGAACGGATTTAAATCCGTCGAAAATTCCATCATTTAAAAATCCGTCGAAAATTTCCCACGGATCAAAATCCGTGGGAAATTTCTAACGGATTTTTGTCTGTGGGAAATTATCCGTGGGAAATTTAACTTTTTTCTTGTAGTGAAAGTACACATTACTCACACCACTACTAGGCCAACATGTCCAGACTTGAACCTTACTAAGTCTCAACTTAAACTTCACATCAGGTAATCATCACATGGTTCACATATAAATTAAACTTAGATTCTCAGATGGAGGTTAAGATTGAGATGCATAGAACCAACAGATGCAGACGAAGACTGCCATGCAAGCAATTAAAGAATCAAGTCTTAAAAGACAAATCAAGGCATCGTCTATGACAACACAAAAGCTCTCAAATGAATGCGCAAGAAATAGAAGAAGAAAAGAATGAGAAAATCAAACGCAAAAGCAAAAGCATGCATGTGTCAAAAAAAGTACATCACTTTTTTAGATAAGGACAACACTCTACTACTATGTGACCAGAAAAGGACAAAAAGGTTCCTAGGTCTCTACTAAATTCAGACACAATTGCTAACAAGGCAAAGAAGACTTCACGCAAGATCTATAAACAAGAAGCAACATTTAATGCAAGATCTTGAGCATTAAATGAAAGATCAAACCAGTCATGAACGACTATATCTGCTTCAACGAACACTTGCTATGGGCAGATTCTACAAGTCAAGATATATATATATATA